AAAGCCATTTCATACCAGCAGCCTTGTGAAACCAGGTAAGCATGGGGTTTGGTGCCGGGGGGCTGAGGTCTCGGGGGTGGGGGGAGAGGTTGGGCGCTGAGTGTTTGTAGGGTTGCCAGGTGCCCAGCATTTTCGTCTCCTGGTCAGGGAAAAAAAATCAGAAAATACCAGACATCTTAGGTGTCTGGTATTTTCTGATTTTTTTTACCGGACAGGAGGTGGAAATACCGGACTCTCCGGGTGAATACCGGACATCTGGCAACTCTGCATGGGAGGCAGAAGCGTGCCCGGGGGGGCCAGGCTGTCTCTGGGGCAGCATGGCAGGTAGTGCCCTGCCGAGGAGGGTAGCGGAAGTGCCTTTGCCAATGGGTCCCACCCCCAACATGTGTATGTCCCCACTTGTAGCCTCCGTGTAGATCCAAGAGGCCCTCTGCTACGGTCACGCCCCTGCCCCGCCTGTCTGCAACCTCCCCCGGCTGGGCTTGGTGGGGCACGGCCAGTGCCTCCCCAGGCCGGGCGCAGCTGAGCCAGGACTGTCCCCTGGGGGATGCCACGCCTTCCCCGTGCACCTGTTGGACGCCTTCTTGTTCGGAGCCTCCAGGTCGTGTTTGCGGACCAGGTAGCCCTCCATCTGCAGGCTGTGCGAGCGGTCCAGCTGCGCCGGCAGCGTGGCGGTCTCATCAATCTCACTCACAGGTGTCTGGAGGACTTTGAACAGCGGCTCCTTGGCAGAGGGCTCCTCCTGGTCGGCTTTTGTCTCCACCTCAGGCTGCTCGGCTTCCGTCAGCTCCTCCAGGGCCTGGGCTGGGCCTGTTTTCTCCTCCTGCACCTGCCGTGGGATCACGGAGCACAGCGCGTTACCGAGAGCAGGGTGGGTCAGGGACGCTGCAGCTCCCGCTGTCCCTGCCCCGCTCTAGCGCTGACCCCACTGCCACAGCGGGGAGGCCTTTGGGGGAGGAACCCATTACCTGGCACAAACGGCCGAGCTGGCCACACCGGCATGGTTCACAGCCAGTATCCGGGTCGCTGGTTTGGGGAGAAACCGAACGCTGGAAAATGGGAACGGTTTCACGTGGGCCCTTTTGGAACGCCACGCTTTGATTTTCTCTGCTCAGAAAGCTCCTTGTCTCTCTGGCATGCCTGCCGTTTTATTTTTCATCTCTTTTAAAAACTGTCGAGGTGAGACGTTTTCTTTGACCCAACTCCATTTTCTTTCCATTTCCCAATTTGACAAAAGTGTCGGAAAGATTCCGGCCACCCCAGACCAGTCTTTTCCCTGGTTTTTCAGAGTTGCCAGTGAACCAAAAAATCCACTGCTCACCCGGTGCTACCGCGTGAGGGGAGTGCAGACTAGTGGTGAGAGCAGGGTGCACCTGCTTTTTTATCTCTGTCCTGGCCACTTTCTTCCTGCAGGGAATTGGCCAGGTCTGCCCTTGTAAGGAGAGTTTGAGCAGCCCCCTGCCATGCCAGCCCCAAGCAAGGGGAGTTGGCTGGAGCTGGCTGACTAGGCCTGAGTCTGCAATAGCTGCCAGCCCAATTAACCAGGGGCTAGAAAAGGGCTGGGAGGGAGGCCAGGAGGGGAACAGAGAGAAGGGCGGAGGCCAGAGACAGGTGTGTGGCTCGGCTCTGCTGCCTGTATATCAGCCGTGGGCACTGAGTAGTTTGCAAGCCCTTGGAGGGCCACCAGACACATTAGGTACCTGAGCGTCCGCAGGTACAGCAGCTCCTATTGGCCATGGCTCATTCTTCCCGACCAATGGGAGCTGCGGGAAGCAGCGTGGGCAACCCCATCTGGCAAAGTGGGGGTTTTGCCCACGAAAGCTGATGCCCAAATAAATCTGTGAGTCTTTCAGGCGCCACCAGACTCCCTGTTAACTTCTGAAAGGGACTCGGGCCCGTAGGAGCCGAAACCCCCTGGACAGTCAACAGGGCGTTGGCTCCTAAGTACGCAGGTCTGATTTGGGAAAGGAGAGCCTCGCTCTGGAACATGTTGCCCCGTGCCTCAGTTTCCCTCATGAGTCGGGCGGGGATCTTGCCCCACAGGAGACGGGGCTTGGTGGTTGAGAGTCTGACTGAGCGGAGGTGTGTGAAAATGCATGGAAGGCGCTAGGGCTATATTTCAGCATGACGTGCTAGTCTGCTCAGTGCTCAGAAGTACACACCCGTCTGCGACTCCGGGCTGAGATCTGTCCTCTTATCCGCGCTCGAGGGCCCCCCATGACCTCTCATCTCGCAGAGGCCATTGCACAGTCAGCTCCCTCCTCTGACTGGCCAGGGCTCAGCCTCCGTCACCCACTCGCTACGTCTGCACAGGCTCCTAGGCGGGACCGTTGTGCACACCTAGTCCAGGGGCTCTCAAAGTTCACTGCACCACGACCCCCTTCGGACAACACAAATAACTCTGACCCTGGGAGGAAGGACCAAGGCCTGAGCCCTGCCAGCCCAGGTGAGGGGGGCGACGCCAAAGGGGGGCTGTAACCTGAGCCCCACCACTTAAGGCTGATGTGCCCTCGGCCTTTGGCTTTGGCCCGGGCCCCACAAGTCTAACGCCAGCCCTGGCACCCCATTAAAACAGGGTCCCGACCCAGAGTCTGAGAACCACTGAGCTAGTCTGACCCCCCCCCCCTCCAACACAGCTGAAAGAAGCCCCAAAATACTGCCCAGAGCAGAGCTTAGATCCAATCTTCACTTAAACATGCTCAGTGACGGAGAATCCACCACAGCCCGCGGTGAGTTCCAGTGGTTACCGACTCGCACGGTTCAAGAGACACATCTGAGTTCCTGTCTCAATTTCTTCCGCCATCGGATCTTGCTCTCCCTTTCCCTGCTGGGCCAAAGAGCACACTTACTATTGGCCCCCCTGTGGATCCTTACAGAGGGTGATCAAGTCACCCCCCAACTGTCTCTTTAGTCGGGAAAATGGCTGGCGCGCTTGTGACGTTACTGGATTCCGATGTGGACAGGCAAATCATTGCTGCAAATGCTTGTACAAAGTGGGCCAAGGGAGGGGTTTATGGGAAGCTTATGATGCGCTGATTCGGTTTACACAGCTCATGTGCCTGCATCGTTTTGGCTCCGTGCTTGTATTTCCAGTGTTTGCTTCCGGGAGCCCTCAACAGGCTTCGCCCACCTAGTGTGGAAGGGTGGCTAGTCAGGTGAACAGAGGGACTTGACTGACAATGAACCTTCAGTGGAGCCAATCCACATTGGAGGGACTTCGCTGGCAGCGTCCAGACCAACATGGCTGCAGCCTAAAAAGGGCCAAGTCATATCTGGACAAGTGCCCGACTCATGCGACAAGCTCCATGTTGGGAGGTACATCCACACCAGGGCTGTGTCCAGACTCAGAGGTTTTTTCTGAAAAAGTAGCCTTTTTCCGAAAAAACTTCACCTGCGTCTAGACTGCAGCTGCGTTCTTTCGAAATTAAATCGAAAGAACGCGGCTTTTCTTTCGACGGTGGTAAACCTCAATTTACGAGGAAGAACGCCTTTTTTCGAAAGTGCTCTTTCGAAAAAAGGCGTTCTTGAATGCAAACAGGGGTTTTTCAAAAGAGAGCATCCAGACTGCCTTTCGAAAAAGCGGCTTGCTTTTTCGAAAGTTCCGCGTGCAGTCTAGACGCTCTCTTTCGAAAGAGGCTTGCAGTCTAGACATAGCCCAGGAGAGCAACGGGATTCCCTCCTCATGCGCCAGGCTATAAAAAGGGTCCTAGAGGTTCTTCCATTTGTCTTCAGTCCAGCTCGTCACTACAGGAGCATCTTTGCTATGAATTGAGCCCAGAACAACTCATGGCCCATCCTAACACAGGATGGATGCCAGAGACTTTTAAGACAGCAGCTTATCCCATCGCTGCTACACGCCTGCCCCAGGAACTTTGTGTTGGTGGATGTATTATGATCCCTTTCACAATGTTACCCTCAGGCTTCTCCTTCTTTCTGTCATTAATAACCCTTTGGATGGGAGATGCTAACGGACTGGCCCAGCGAGCGCCTTTGGGTAAGAGCTGAGGTATAAAGGGACCTGGGAGTGTGGCTGGCCCTCTGGGACGGGTCGAAGCTGTTCGGAGTCGGTGAGACTGGTTTTCGTAACCTCTCCCCTGTGTAAGGAGCGGGGCTGGCTGTGGCACAGGGAACGCTGGGGTGTCTAAGTGGGTTGCTGGTGGGACTTCTTGCTAGGAGGCCGCTGAAGCGCTCGGTGCGACTGTTTTGATGCCTTAATGGGAAGGATCCCGGTCTTGGGCTGTATGTAGCCCTGGTTCTAAACAATTCACCCTGATCTGACCCTCTCAGTGGTGCCCCCAGGCCAATGTTACATCTATACACGCCCCCGCTCAGATTCCAGCTGGTCTGACCTGGGAAAATTCCTTCTCGGTCCCCTTCTGGCCCCCAGGTAGACAGGCAAGAACCAGGCAGCTAAGCAAGGACTCTGACCCTTTCTGGCTTGGGAGCCCTCTCCCCCTGCAGCCATTCCTGATGCTCCAGACCAGCAGTGCCTCACGGAAAGACTCCCTCCCGACCTCCGGGGTGCTCTGGAAGCAGATCCAGCTAATCTTATTGAGCCACTTGGATTACAGACATGCGCGTCCCCCGGTCTTACAGCAATGGGTGTGATTACAGCCTAGCGCGTCCCCCTGGGCCTTACAGCGCCGGGTGTAATTACAGCCTAGCATGTCCCCCTGGACCTTACAGTGCTGGGTGTGATTACTGCCTAGTGCGTCCCCCTGGGCCTTACAGCACCGGGTGTGATTACAGCCTAGCGCGTCCCCCTGGGCCTTACAGCGCCGGGTGTGATTACAGCCTAGCACGTCCCCCTGGGCCTTACAGCGCCGGGTGTGATTACAGCCTAGCACGTCCTCCTGGGCCTTACAGCGCCGGGTGTGATTACAGCCTAGCACGTCCTCCTGGGCCTTACAGCGCCGGGTGTGATTACAGCCTAGCACGTCCTCCTGGGCCTTACAGCGCCGGGTGTGATTACAGCCTAGCACGTCCTCCTGGGCCTTACAGCGCCGGGTGTGATTACAGCCTAGCATGTCCCCCTGGACCTTACAGCAATGGGTATGATTACGGCCTAGCGCGTCCCCCTGGACCTTACAGCAATGGGTGTGATTACAGCCTAGCACGTCCTCCTGGGCCTTACAGCGCCGGGCGTGATTACAGCCTAGCACGTCCTCCTGGGCCTTACAGCGCCGGGCGTGATTACAGCCTAGCACGTCCTCCTGGGCCTTACAGCGCCGGGCGTGATTACAGCCTAGCACGTCCTCCTGGGCCTTACAGCGCCGGGCGTGATTACAGCCTAGCACGTCCTCCTGGGCCTTACAGCGCCGGGCGTGATTACAGCCTAGCACGTCCTCCTGGGCCTTACAGCGCCGGGCGTGATTACAGCCTAGCACGTCCTCCTGGGCCTTACAGCGCCGGGCGTGATTACAGCCTAGCACGTCCTCCTGGGCCTTACAGCGCCGGGCGTGATTACAGCCTAGCACGTCCCCCTGGGCCTTGCAGCAATGGGTGTGATTGCAGCCTAGCGTGTCCCGCTGGGCCTTACAGCACCGGGTGTGATTACAGCCTAGCGTGTCCCACTGGGCCTTACAGCAATGGGTGTGATTACAGCCTAGCGCGTCCCCCTGGGCCTTACAGCGCCGGGTGTGGTTATACGGGTATAACGTTAACCTTTCCTGCCTGGCCGCACCCTTAGCCTCACCTCTCTCAGTTCCCCAAGGCAAGTCGGGAGGAAAGGCATGTGCAGCTGTGCCAATCACTGACACAATTTGCCACATGGCTCATTTTGGGACCATGCTAGGGCAGCTATCAGGAGTTGCTTGGTTATTTCCTGCC